AAACTGAGGGGAGCAATGTGCATTCGCTCGTCCTGTGTCCTTAATTTTATGCTTAATTTTGGATACTGTATTCCCGTTGTCTTGAACTTATAATTCAATCCACTTATCTGACGTCGGGGGATGGCCTTTGTAGTATTTGAAGAAATCTTCTTCCATGTCAGGCTATTGGACAGGTTCATTCGTTCAGGTGATCAAAGCGTATCGCATTCTGTCGACGGACACTCCGACGTTGGTCGTGGAGGTGGCCTCCGATCCGCCAGCAATATTTGAATGGTTCTGCAATGACAAATCGGTGCAACAGGTGCTACCTAACGTCTAGGGTTATGGCAAGGGCTCCAAAAGCGTAAATAGTTGAAATTTTAGGATCGTCGACGCTTCCAAGCCCGTCATGGACTGAACATAACCACGTTAACTGTACACGAACCTGAGCAGGGCGTCTACAAGTGTACGGCACGAAATCCGGCTGGAACCAGTACCAGTTATGGATATATAACTGTCAATTGTGAGTTGACCTGTTTTCTCAAAGGGTTACAGACTATGGAGTAAGAGGGGGGGGGGTTGGAGGGGTGTTTGGGGAACGTGATGTCAGCTTCATATCTATCCTCCGTTGTCCATCCGCGCTATGTCGGTCTCACTGGGGAATCATGCAGTTTCACAGTTCCCCATTTATTGTACCGGCACCCCCTGAGTGCAAAATTTCTCGGCTATGTCGAGTAAAAAAACGGATCGAGGTCAAGAAAGGAGTCGATGAAAACTCGGTGCAAAATAGGTTCTCAAAGAGCGTTGGATAGAAAAGGGTATAAAATGTTTTGATAGCGGTAATACTTTAAGTGGACTGCTAAAGGTTACAGTCAAGACGGGAGCTTTGACCATTATGAGCGTGCCATCAGGGTGCAACGTCTCAATGGGTGATATGGCGTGGTCATTACGATCCCTCCGAGTTGTCTCCTCCGGTACGATCCCCTTCCCCCTTATACCTCTCATCGAACTTCGATTTTACCAAATCTTACAAATTCTTAACATATTTTCTCAAAACCTCGTTGAGCGGGAGGAGGGAGGGGCGGGGCTGTATGATGCGCCTGAAAGGGGAGACCAGCTAGAAAAATTTCTCTCGGAAACCAACGCGATCTCCGGGCACCAATAGGACACTCTGATGGGTTTTGTACAACGATGCTGTACGCTGGATGCCCCAACCGCACGCTTTCGCAACGAGGAGTTTAGTCGTTTTCGCTGCAGATTTTAGGGCCTAATAAGGGCTGAGTTTGGCGCGGCGCCAGCCCGTTTTCCAATTGTTGCGGCTTGTCCGCTTCAGCATTTGGTGGAGAACGGGCTGGCACTGAGCCGAACCCATCCTCTGACACGCTCCAGCGTCTGCAGCGCAAATTACTGTACTTTGTCCCTTCCTGTCAATATCGCTCCAATACCTCTTGCACAACCTCACCCTGCATCTCACAATACAATCGATAGGTCAGATTTCTGTCGAGCAAAGGGAACATATACCAGTATATACTTCACAGGGAACAGTGATTGCATTAATTATGGAGGGGCACCGACGTAAAACTCGTGTAAGAGAGCAGCAGCGTTAGCTATTCAAAAAGCATATCTGCAGTCAGCATTATTTAACCTTTGCTCAACAGAAA